TCGTGGACTACAGCCCACTTCTTCGGATGTAGTCCACGAAAGCTTATGCTCTAATAAATTTGTTAGTCTCTAAGGTGCACAAGTACTCCTGTTCTTCTTTTTGTGTTTTGTAAGCCCCAGCACAAGCATGGGCAAATAAGGGGTAGATTTCTGTAAGACCTCACTCTGAGGGATATAGGAGGGTGGGATATTGTTGTGATTTCACAATTTAAAAAAAATGTTTCAGGTAAGGGACCAGGAGGGGTGGGGGCTAGTGGAGGAGCCCATCCTCCTTGCTAAATTGCTAATGGACCAAAGCCTGTGTCCATGGAAAGGGACGTTTCAGCAAGAAATGCAGAATCGGGCCCAGACAAGCAGGCAGGCAACAAATAAAAAAAAAATGGGAAAACAGGTTGGAAGCCCTGAGGGCATAGTGGCAGGACTAAAGAAAGCAGTAAGTACAGGCCTGGGGAATTCAGATCCCTGGAACACTACTTGGAATGGTGAAATCTGAGTTGATGAAGGCATCATTTTGGGAGCTAAGCAAGTGATTTAGGAAAGAGAGTGAGACGTTAGCTCTGCAGAAGCTGGAGGGAATTAAGCAGTTGAATGTTGTAAAAATGTTCAAAAGGAAAAGTGTTATTGAAAGAGAATTCCTAGTTTCTTTGCAGCCATTCTGAAGGGAAATGGGCCCTTTTCTAAAGGAATGTCTGTAAATAAGCCAGGCAAAGAGACTATCTGATTTACATAATTTGATTATGGACAATTTAGTTAAATTCGCTAAAAGAATATAAGGGGTTTCTATTGGAACGGAACCCCAAATGTATACAAATGTAATCTATGTACAGCTGTGTAAAAATTAGAGCAGTGTAAGGAATGTTAAGAAAAAATATGTATAGTGTGTATAAATATATTGTGTAAATATGTGGAGTGTTTAGGACCTAAATCAACACTCCTGGTTGTAAAACTCTTGTTTTGTAGGCTTCAGATGAATTGGGTTTTGTTTTTAAATAATATCTCTAAATTCCATTTGAATTGTTCGTTCAAAGTTGCAACACTGAGAAACACTTTTTGCCATCCGCAGGTAACTAGTGGTGTTTGGCTTTGGTATTTAGCATTTAACCCTTAAGGTACCTTAATGCTTTATAAGTTCAATATCTTTTTAAAAGACCAAAGTCGTGGCTGCAGCAGGGCAGTCAAACCCAGGCGAATGGGAAAAAAATTCTGGATTTGTTTTTTAGTAACAAAATAGCTAATAAGACTTGTAGTAAAAAATAAATAAATAAATTTTTTTAAAAAAGACAATGCCCCAGACAGAGCCTTAAGGTGGCTCTGTGTCATCAAACTGTCACTTTGATAAGGGTACATTAAAAACTCTGTGAGCACAAAAGAAACAGTGACACCTTATGTAAAAATTAATATGGCTAATGTTATAAAAGTTAAACTATGGAAGGAATGTGCGTTTTCCCCAAAA